AAAAAAAAAAAAAAAAAAAAAAAAAAAAAGTTGGGAATGTCTGAAGCACTTTTACATATGATTAAAAAGAACCCTAAAACTCCTTAAATCAGGCGATTGTTTTAATGTATATTATGTCATGTAACATTGCAAGTTTTGGAGATTCATAGAACCATAGAAAAGTGAAGTTGGAAGGGGCCTACAAGGCCATCAAATCCAATTTATTTATTTATTTATTTATTTATTTATTTATTTATTTATTTATTTATTTATTCATTCATTCATTCATTCATTCATTCATTCATTTATTTGATTTCTATCCTGCCCAGCTGGTCTATACGACCACTCTAGGCGGCTAGACCTGTGCTCAATACAGGAATACAATCAAAGCATATCTGCCAGGTGATTATCTAAGTTTTTCTTGAATGCCTCCAGTGTGGGAGCACTCACCAACTCCCAAAGTAACTGGTTCCATTGTCGTACTGCTCTAACAGTTAGGACGTCTTTCCTGATATTCAACTGAAATCTGACTTCCGTTGACTTGAGTCCATTGTTTTGTGTCCTGCACTCTGGGATGATCAAGAACAGATCTTGCCCTTCCTCTGTATTACAGCCTTTCAAATATTTGAAAAGTGCTATCATAACACCCCTCAAAAGGATTGGTTTCCAGCCCCCGATCATCCTTGTCGCCCTCCTCTGAACTTGTTCAATTTGTTAGCATCCTTCTTGAAGCGTGGTGTCCAGAACTGAATAGAGGGAGACCAGCACCTCACAGGATTTGGAAAGTATACTTTGATTAATGCAGACTAAAATAGCATTTGCCTTTTTTGTAGCCACATCACACTGTTGGCTCATATTTAGCTTGTGATCTACAATAATTCCAAGATCCTTCTTGCTTGTAGTTTTGCTGAGCCAGGTATCTCCCATCTTGTAACCACAACTGGATTTTTTTCTGAGGTGCATTACTCTGCACTTATCCCTGTTGAATTTCATTCTGTTGCTTTTGGCCCAGTGCTCCATCCTATCAAGGTCAATTTGAATTTTGTTTCTGTCTTCTAGGGTATTAGCTATTCCACCCAATTTGGTATCATCTGCAAATTTGACAAGCATTCCTTGCACTCCCCCATCCAAGTCATTAATAAAAATATTGAACAACACTGGGCCCAGGACTGAGCCTTGGGCTTCCCCACTTGTTACCTCCTCCCAGTTAGAGAAGGACCCATTAATCATCACCCTCTCAGTACGATTCTGTAGTTGATTGTGTATCCACCTGACAATTGATCTATCCAGCCCACATCTAGTTGGCTTGCTAATCAGGATATCATGAGACAATTTGTCAGAAGCTTTGCTGAAGTCAAGGTATATTACATCTATGGCATTCCCTCTGTCCATCAGGGAGGTGACCTGATCAAAAAACGAGATCAATTTAGTTTGGCAGGATTTGTTCTTGACAAATCCATGTTGGCTTCCAGTTATTACTACATTGTTTTCTAGGTGCTTGCATTGAATCATGTGTTTTAAAAGCCCATGGAAGTTGATATCTATATCTATGCTTCCGTCATAGTTCAACATTCTGTTTTCTATTCTGTTTGTGAGAGAATAAATAACTGATCTAGAAATAGTAAGGTGCAAGCAAAGCAAAACAAAGAGGTGCTGCATTTGAAGTTTAAAACAAAAAACAGAAGTCCAATTCCTGCTCAGACTTGAAATCTACTAGGAGCCCATGGAAAGTCAGAGGCTGCATTTTTACATTCAAAACAAGATTTGCACTAATTGTGTTGTATGACCGAAATCATGGTCTGAATTCTAAAGCTATTTTTATGCATTCAAAGCCTCACACAATGGGTGTTGTATAACAGAAGAACAGGGCTGTGCCAGCTCAGTGACTCCCTCTCTTTGACCATCCAGATATTTTGTACTTTCAAAAAGTAAAATTAAAAAAAAAATTTTGTAGAACACGCTGAAGTCTTTAGAGGCATGCTATATCAATATAAGTAGGTTATATTGATATAAGCTATTTCCCTTTTCCTTAGTAATTCAACCCCGCCACACTCTGAAAAAAAATAAACACAAGCCCTACTGTGGTTTAAAATAGTGCCCAGTGCACACCATTTTAAAGTGCAGTAGGGCTGCGTCTTCAGTGAGCCAGGGCAAGAGAGCCCCTCTTGCTTTGCTGGGCTCGCTTTTTCTGGTGGACAGCCAGAAGGGAGTGTGGTGGTAGGAGCAGCAGCGGTAGTGGCGGCAGCAGCAGTAATGACTTTGATGACTGGGGAGGCTCCCACTGCCGCTTCTGCCAACATATATACTTCATACATATACATTCTTTCATATATATATATATATATATATATATATATATTTTCATACACACTATATAATTTCATACACACACAAAAGAACTTACATGTGAGAAATGCTGCAAATTAACGACGCAAAAGATTCTCAATTTAGAATTCCTTTGAACTGGTTTTCTTCCCCTCCCTTTGTGTGGAACACTTTATACCGACCAGATGGTGAGATGACTGTGCTGCATGGCACCATCCCAAAGCTGTGGTCTGGGTAAAACTTCATTCCCGATTTCTTACAAGAAGACAGCAGAAAGCTGTAATGGGTGTGGGTGGGTGGGTGCATGGCATTATCAATGCACCAAATGAGTACTTCTGAACTTCCCCCTGCAGAGTGGCAAGAGCCACCATGGGTATGTGGCGCTGCCATCTATGGTCACTTAACCTGAGAGAGAACTCACCAGGACTTACCCCTGAGTAAATACAGATAGATTATTTTAAAACTTAGGAAACAACACAGGAGCATGGCACAGAAATATTTATCTGTTCACTGTATACATGGTGTATTCGATGTTTTGTGGGTGTGTAGATTGGTTGGTTTGGCAGCATGAAACATACAAATATATATTCAAAAGAATATCTGGCTCAAGAGCTATATTCGAAAAAAAAAGGAATTATACTTTGACTGCTGGAAAAACTGAAAGGCTTGGCTCTGACATTTTCTTTCCTTCACTTTCCCACTTGAAAATTTTATTCATTTCCTTATTCTATACATGCTAGGCTAGAATTTTAAGTTTAGTAGAACTGACAGAATGAAGGCTGCCAGGTTACTCCTGCAATTCAAAATAATCAGATTTCCAGTTCCAGCAAATTTATTTTGTTAGAATGATTAACGTCCCTCACCACAGACATTTTTCCTATAAGGAGATGGGGGAGAGGGGAAATAAGAATTTGGTTTCAAGAGAGAGGCCTTTCTCAGGAAACCAACCAGTAGTAGCTAGATTTTGTGCGTTTGTTACTTTTTAACAATGTGTTTCCTCTCAAGAGTCCAGTACAATTTCCTTCTGTGCAAAATGTCCTCCGCAAGTTGTATTCCCCACATAGGTTTTTCAGACAGGGTGGCTACTTTTACATTGGCAAAAACAAAGAAGAAACAAATAACTAGGAAAAAGAACATAAAACTTGCATGTGTTAATACATGTGTGTAAGTTGAAGACAATAGGGTGGGCCAGGTCTCAAGGCACCTGCTGAAGCCTCAGAGATTGGGGAAAACTCACTGCTGACTCACAGGAAGGCCCTTTCTAGGCTGACTCACAGGAAGGTAAAATGGCGTTCCCTAGTCACGCTGGCCACGTGACAATGGAAACTGTCTTCGGACAAGTGCTGGCTCTACTACGGCTTGAAGAACGGGGTTGAACACCACCCCCTAGAGTCGGATACGACTGGCCTAAAAAAAAATGTCAAGGAGAACCTTTACCTTTATCTTGTCCTGTCTATCCAGATTGCCTATGCCATTTTTATACACTTTGTTGTCCCAGAAACAATTTGGCTACCTTGCTTATCAGACTTCTATGGCACCAGAAAGATGTGGGAAAGCTAGTAGACTATTATCAATTTATATAACTGTTAATGGGAGCCAAAATCTAATTCAGCTTAATTTGGAAATGTTAAATTTTTAACAGTTAAGCTGATGTTAAATTTTCTTTTAAGTTAGGAGATTTCAATAAATTCATACTAAAAAAAGAGAAAAGAACAGAAAAAAGGAGCAGGGGCCGGAATCTAATCCTTTCTTAGAGTAAGTGAGATATGGTTTTACAAAACACACATAGACACAGTGGACCAATGAGTTTCCATGGCTTAGTGCACATTCGAACCCAGGTCTTTAGAGTCCTAATCCAATGCCACAGATTTAGTCAGAAATAATTCCTATTGGTCAAAATTCTATAGGGTACCAAATATGGTGGCAGAATACTGAAGCTCTTTTAATGCAAAAGAAGATTACAAGAATTTATTGCTAGTAGTGTTAACAATGGTTTTCTGTCTGTCTTTCAGAATTATACAGGCTGAATGATTCTGCAAGTTTCCCTGTAGTTCATCCTGTTCCAGAGAGATGGAAGCAGCTCCAAAGGGGGCTGAGGAGGCTGCCATATTTATTAGTTTGTAGACCTAGTTTTAAACAATGACAGAAAAACAAGAGCAAAGAGCCAGAACTCTGCTTCTTCTGAGATGCAACCAGAAGATACAGACCGGAGGACTGAGAGCTAAAACATGTGTTCTACATTTTGTCGTTTGGATTATGAAAAAAAAAAGCTGAAGATTTTGTTACGCATAAAGACAGGGAGGTAGGAGATATCTAGTAAGATTTTGTTACGCATAAAGACAGATATGAAACTATTTCAGAGATATTTATTATAGCTTGGGAATTCTTATTTCTTATGTGCCTTTGTTATATAGCCGCCTTGAGAACTTTCAAGGAGAAAGGTGGGGTAAAACCAAACAAACAAAAAATAATGTTCAGTGAATGGCATTTGTGTAATAAACATTTATTACTATTTATTACTATTAAGACAGATATGAAACTGTATTTCAGAGATATTTATTATTGCTTGGGAATTCTTATTTCTTATGTGCCTTTGTTATATAGCCACCTTGAGAACTTTCAAGGAGAAAGGTGGGGTAAAAACAAACAAATAAAATATAATGTTGAGTGAATGGCATTTTTATATTAAGTTTCTAGTTGTTAATTGTTATTTCTCTTCCTTTATTTGCATTATTTAATAATACTAATTGCATGCTGCCAAGTAGTTGTTAATTGTTATTCCTCTTCCTTTATTTGCATTCTTTAATAATACTAATTGCATGCTGCCAAGTTGATTCCCGATTTTGGTGACCCTTTCTGGGGTTTTCTTCGTATACAGTACTCAGAAATGGTTTTCTACTTCCTTCTTCTAGAAGAACTCTATGATTGCATAGCCTATGCAGAGTTGCTCTTCTCCCTGGAGGCACAGAGGGGAATAAAACTCCCAACGTTTGACTCCACACAGCCAGATACTGAATTCACAGAGCTATCCATTAGCCCTTTGTAAATAGGGCTGGGTTTGAGCAACTGTGATTAAAATTCCAGCATCAATACACAAACTAAATCTATCCCCACCTTTCTCTCCAATATATGATACATGAATAGTGGGTTAACTTAGGATAACAGTGTATCTTAAAGATATGGAGAGGTCACATTTATAGTAAGAATTCCACACTACTTTGAAGTTTAACTTCTCAGGCTTTGCTAAAAATCCTGCCAATTCTTTGCTAAACCTTTCTTTCTTGGCTTCATGCCTTCTAGGATCTCTGCCTCTCCTATCTCAGTGACCTTACTTGTCATTTCTTTAGTTAGCCCTTCCTTCATGAGTCTTTCTGTCCTGTTCTGTATCTTTTAAAGGCAGCTGGACACTCTCTACTTGTCCTACACCTCTGTGATACAAAGTCAGCACACTCTATCACGAAATTTCTCAGTCTCGGTACGTTACCATACAGAGTCACAAACGTACTGCAACTCTCAAAGGCAAAAGCTGGATGGACAAAATGTTACTGCAGAAAAACAGGAGTTGTGCTGGACAGAGGGTTAAGGTTAATTGCTTTAAAGACATCTAGTGGAAAGCCTACATGCCCAGCTGCTTCCCTATTCTTGGCATCCTAATGACTGTTATTCACTTCACTGGCTTGCAAAACACACATCAGTTACAAAACGTCCTTTTGCTTTAAACGTGTAACCTTAAGGTAACCGTAGTCTAGACTTCAGTTTTCTGTTGGTACCATTAAATCTGCACAAGACATAATTGGATGAATCAGAGGAAGAATTCAGGTTGCTCTCCCCTGCCTTCCATAATCCTGCCTCTTCATAGCAAAAGGTTAATCTCCAAACATGTTCAGGAAATATTTGTATGTCACAGATAGGGTTGAAATGTTATTTCATACTTGCGGGAAAAGGATGATCTCTTGCTTCCAGGTGTAGACATATGGATCTCAGGAGCTGAAATGCTGCCTGTGCTGCTTGATGAGCTAAAATCGGCTTCGCTGCCTAGAAAGGAAGAATAAAGTTTGGTGGAAGTCAGTTTGCAAAAAGCTAAGGGAGAAACCTGTCTAATTTATCACATTGTTGTAAAACTTATGAGGTAAGAGAGAAATTGGGTACAAATATTATATGGAAGGAAGGAAGGCTGTATTTTAGAGTACAGTTTGAAATTCATGAGATCTGATATATCCTGGGTTTACACAAAGAGGTAGTAACTGACCATAGTGTTCATTTATGGCCTTTATAAAAATGTCCAAAACAGCAAGCAATGCATAAAGGGATCTATAAAACCAAAAAGTCATATCCAAATGTTGTACAAAGGTAAAAAGCTGAAAACATGTAAGACCAATTAAAAAAAAAAGGTACAGAACAACAGGAAAATTAATCAACCAGTCAAATCAAATCAACTTGTAGGTATTTTGGTCACCCACTAGAGGAAGACTCCAACTGGAGGTAAATCATTTTGCTGATTCCACTTCTGTCTACAGCCCCCAAGCCCTACCTCCCAAGTTGTTTGGGTCATGATGATGGTCCTCAAATTTATAGATAACCTCTGCAGGGGTCCAATAGAAATTCTAGATGAAATCCAGACTTCAGATGTATATTCATCTCATAACACAATTGTCTAATTTGACTGAGAAGGAAGTCTTAAGTTTTTCAGTTGATGTTTCTTGGGAAGGCGATTCTAAAGTGACCAAAATAACACTTTGAAGGGGTCAATAGCAAGGGTGCTACCCATGGTCAATGGAGGGAATTTATATGCCATTCTCTGGAAGCTCTGCTATTTACCTTAAAACCAACAATTTAATTAGCAAATCAATAATGCAAATTCAACAAAATTAAACATGTTCAGGTTTGAACATTAAAAGTAATGAATGAACCTCCCCATTTGGAATTAACTTTGTTGTTCTAAGCCCTAATAATAAATATTAGAGCAGCAATTCACAACAACCATTTTCTATTAAATGATAACATTATTGTAAGGGTTTTCCTCCTGTATCTATCCATGGGGGAAGTTCAGTAAAGTAAAAGGAAAAAAGAAAAGAACAGAGCAGACAAACTGTAAGCCATGCTTTAGATCAACCTTTTACATATTTTAAAATCAACAACAGATTGTGTGGAATGCTTATTGCACTAGTTTCATATTTTTCTTGGCTCATTCTCCTAAAATCAGTGAAGGGGAAAGGATGTTGTTGTACTTTAAAGTAGTATTTTTGTCCCATGAACCACAAGGCTTTTATATCTAAATTGAAGAAAACATAATGAGCTTATTTGTTATTGCATGGTTTTATTTCATTATTAATGACATGTGTCTACTGGCAAAGTACTTTGTTGCATAAAAGTACAAATTATTGTTCTAGAAAACAAAGGGGTTTCCGTACAAGGACTTTAAGGAACAAGAAACTACTATTTTATTTTATTTTATTTGAGCTGTGCAACGGCTTATTTCACAGCAGCAAACGGACAGTACAAGGCCATTTTAATATTAACATAAGATGTATATAGAAGTAAATCCAGACCATTTCAAGCCAAGTATTTTTGTGGCTGGGCTTTGTGCCCACCAGCTGATAAATAACCCCATCCCATTAACTCTTTCACTCTTCCTCTTTTTCTCCCATGTGCTGAGAACCTTGGCTGTCCCATCAGTCATAAGCCCGGGGACCTCAAAGGCATAAGTAAATCATATTTTAGCAGAGACAGGATGGGTGTGTGTGTTGAGCTACAACTCCCAGATTTTATAACCAGTATGCCCATGCTGGTTGGACAGTTCTGGGACATTTCCCATTTCTGCATTTTAAGACTGTTATCCACCCACAGTTAAGCTTTACTAATCCTACAGTTATCCATAAAACAATTACATTAATTTAAATCTCTCTCGTATGCTGAATGGAATGTAGATATTCTCAGCTTTGGCTTAAATGTGTGCTCTTGGTCATTATTCTCATCCAGAAGGTCAAGCCTGATTAACTATCCATAAAAGTGTGTGGCTTCTATTCATCAGAAAGGGGAGAATTATGGAAGATATAGAAGACATCTACATTAGGTAGAGAACATACCTACATAACAAAGGCATACCGCGTTTCCTTGAAAATAAAACGGTCTTATATTAATTTTTGCTCCAAAAAATGCATTAAGACTTATTTTCAGGGGATGTTTTGTTTTAATGTACGACAATCTACATTTATTCAAATACAGTCATGTCATCTTATTTTTGAGGTAGGGTTTACATTACAAGCATCCTGAAAAATCATGTTGTTTAGTCGTTTCCGACTCTTTGTGACCTCATGGACCAGAGCACGCCAGGCTTTCCTATCTTCCACTGCCTCCCGGGGTTGTGTCAAATTCATGTTGGTTGCTTCGATTACACTGTCCAACCATCTCATCCTTTGTCGTCCCCTTCTCCTCTTGCCTTCACACTTTAAGGAACTCGAAGGAGAAGTGCATGGCCAGGTTGCGAGCAGGGCCCCTCCTTCACCTCAGCCACAGAGAGGACAAGGTGATAGCAGTGACAGTGATGGCAGCACCCAGAGAGTTGGTCCAATGAGGCGCTCAACGTAAGGTGCTGCCTCCTGTACAATGTTACGAGCCTCCATCCATAGTTCTTGAGACGATCAAGTTCCTTAAATCTGTTCTTCACTTCCACTGTGTATTCATAAGGGATTTGGTTTAGATTATACCTGACTAGATCAGTGGTTTTTCCTACTTTCTTCGGTTTAAGCTTGAATTTTGCTATAAGAAGCTGATGATCTGAGCCACAATCAGCTCCAGGTCTTGTTTTTGCTGACTGTATAGAGCAGGGGTGTCCAACCTTTCACCTTCCCTGGGCCACATTAGAAGATGAAAATTTGGTTTGGGCCACACATAAATATGGTTTGGGCCACATAGGGGGGCAGCCCTAGCCGTCCTCCGCAGCCCCACTCCAAGCGCACTTGCCGGCAGCTGCGATCTCAGACAGCAGAGGCTGCCAGCTTCGACTCCGGTGGCTTTATGGGCCAGGAGGGGGTCCACCTATTGACGGGGATGGCACAATGCAGTCAGGCAGGCCCCCTCTCCCCTCCACTCCCGCTCCTTCCGCCCTCTCTCTCCCCCCCACCGTTGTGATGTGCCCCAGTCGCATTCTGGCCGCAAGCGCCGGCAGTGTAACTTGAAACTTTGAAATTTCTTTAAAAATAAAAAATTGCACTGGGCCGCATTACGAGCCGACCTGGGCTGCATGTGGCCCTCGGGCCGCAGGTTGGACAAGCCTGGTATTGAGCTTCTCTATCTTTGGCTACAGAGAACATAATCAGTTTGATTTCCGTATTGTCCATCTGGTGAGGTCCATGTGTATACTCACCTTGCGTTTTTGGAAAAGAGTGTTTGTGATGACCAGCTTGTTCTCTTGATACAACTCTATTAGCCTTCATTTTGAACTCCAAGGCCAAACATGCCTGTTGTTCCTTTTATCTCTTGACTCCCTACTTTAGCATTCCAGTCCCCTATAATGACAGGAACATCTTTCTTTGGTGTCAGTTCTAGAAGGTGTTTTAAATCTTCATAGAATTGGTCAATTTCACCCTCTTCAGCATCGATGGTTGGTGCATAAACTTGGAATACTGTGATGTTGAAAGGTCTGCCTTGGATTCGTATTGAAGTCATTCTATCATTTTTGAGGTTGTATCTCAGTACAGATTTTCCCACTATTTTGTTGACTATGAGGGTTACTCCATTTCTTCTACAGGATTCTTGCCCACAATAGTAGATATGATAATCGTCTGAATTGAATTCGCCCATTCCCGTCCATTTTAGTTCACTGACACCCAGGATGTCAATGTTTATTCTTGCCATCTCCTGCTTAGCTTTATCTTATTTCCGTTTCATGATTATTTTAAAGCTTTGCAATTACCGAACATGGAGACTGCATTCTACACATAGGACCAGAGCTTGTAAAAGTTTCCTGGTTGGAGTACAAAGCCCAGAATCCCCCAGGCAGTATGGCTACTGTCCACATTTTGTGAGGGCTTTCAGGGAGAAATACTAATCCCCTCTCCACACACATCTATCATCTCTGCCTCACAGAGGGCTTAAATTTCCAGTAGAGAATCCTTCAGGAGAAGTGATACCTTAAACAGAAGAAACCTAAAAGTTTAAGGCTTAAAAAGTGTTGATCTCATTGCTTACATTTTGGATTGTATATTCACTTAAGCTTTCAGAACAGGGAATAGTATATCCCTGCGCAAAAAAACAAGAACATTTTTGTTCTTTTTCTGAGAGATATGTGTATTTAATGCTTTCTGCAGAGTATAGTTTTGCACTGGCGTATCCATGGAGATAGATCCCTTAATAACTCCTCCAGTTAGCAGGTCAAGTAAGCAAACTTACACAGTGCCATAGCAACAGACTTGAGATGGAAAGGAAGCCTATCAGCAAAAGAACAGCATTGCTCTCTCGGGAATTGGTGCAGCATGTTATCATGATATGTAGACCAGCTTAACCAAAAAGGGTGCCATCCATTTTAAGAAGGTGCAAGAGGAAACAAAGAGTCTTGCCATTGAATTGTTGTACGTTAGGACCCAGACTGCTCTATATTTGTGTGTGTGTGTGTGTGTGTGTGTGTGTGTGTGTGCGCGCGCGCACATGTACATGTGTGTGTGCACGCGCGCAAATGGTAGTAAAAGGCAGCATTGTTTGAGAAAAATCAAAAGCAATCACCAGAAGGAAAATCTATGGTAGAAAACACACAATGTTGGTACCCGTTACTTTAATACAAGCCCTACTATGAAACAGTAAAGCAACAGAGTTTAGAAGTCATCAAAGGTAAAGGTTCCCCTTGACATTTAGTCCAGGCGTGTCTGACTCTAGGGAGTGGTCCTTATCCCCATCTCCAAGCCATAGAGCCAGTGTTTGTCCATAGACAGTTTACATGGTCACGTGGCCAGCGAGACTAGACATGGAATGCCATTACCTTCCCACTGTGGTGGTACCTATTTATCTGCTCACATTTTTATGTGCTTTTGAACTGCTAG